TTCCTGAACAATTTCGTTGTAAAAAAAAAATGCAGGGGACCATGAATACGTAGATGTAATCTTGGCAGACACTGAAGACGGTCAGGAGGAACGACTGATCATTGACATGGACTTCAGGAGCCACTTTGAGATAGCCCGGGCGGTGGACTCGTACCAGAGAATACTGGATTCCCTCCCGGTGGTTTACGTGGGGACGGAATCTAGGCTGAACCAGTTCCTACAGGCCATGGCCGAAGCAGCCAAAAGCTCCCTGAAGCAGAACTCGATGCCTCTGCCCCCATGGAGATCCCTGCGTTACTTGCAGTCGAAATGGCACTCTCCACACAAACGGCACCTCGGGCCGCCGATACACATGGATGGTCCTGAAATGTTCTCGGAGGGATTCCACAGACAGTGCGCTGAGAACCTGAAGAGGGTTCAGCTCGTCCTCCGGGCCGAGAAAGAGGGCGAGAGATGCGTGAAGGGTATGAAGAGAAGTGATAGTAGTAATAGAGGAGGCTGGAGGATGAGAAATCCAACGGGACGAGATCATTGAGTGTTTGTACAGAGCGTTTAGGCCATTGAGAATGGCACAAGAGTTATTTTGTGAGTGTAACTTTTTGCGGCTCCTTTGTAATCGGGAATATTCAAAGAAGAAGAAGAGTTTTTTTTTTTTTTTAATTTGTAAGCAAGATGAAGTCTGAGATCTTTAACGCCAAGTGGCGAATTATACGAGGGTTAATTAATGCGTTATGTCATATCTTATGAAAGTGACGTGAAGAAAATGAGATATTGGAGGGTAGTGACTAGTGTGCATTATGTCATTTTCCAACACAATTGATTTGAGTTGAGACATGAATGGTGAAGTAGCACTCGGTTCCTTTTTCTTTCTATATTTTGGTCGGTTAAGTTCTTGGTCCTAAAAAAACACGTGCCCAAAAAGTTACGGCGGACAGAGGAGCAGAAACCGCGTTCACTCTGTCTGTTTTCTTTCATAGTCGCCAACTTAATTTTTTGCATTTTTTGTTTAATTTTTTTTCAATTATTAATTTTTCCTTTTGAAATACGGGGATTGCATCGCTTTGCTTTAACCAAAAAAAAAACCCCGAATATTTAATTGAAAACAAGTTTATAAAAATCGTGTTTTATTGTTCTCGTGTTAGTCCGTCTGCGAGCAACCATCTTGCTTTTTTTAGCAAAAAGTTAAGTAATCACCGAGAAATTTGTTTGACCTAATTAAATTTTTTTAAAAAAAAACTTCGTTGAAACAATAAAATCAATTCATAAATCAGTAAACGTTAAATGAGCTGTAAGCTTATTTGTAGATCAGGATTTGGATAAACCAGGCAACTAAAATTGTAAAAAAAAAATTTGCATATGAAGTCTAATTTAATTTTCAAACTAAAATAAACCCAACAGCCAAAAAAACAAAATAAAAAAGAATTAAACCATAATTAGCATAACTAAAATTTACACGGCCACAAACAAAAAATAATCTTTTACATATTTATCCACAGATAAATTGACTCCTACGCACATGGAAAGGTAAAAAGCTCTTGTAACAGCTGTTTCCTGCTCTCTATATATATACATACATCTATACAAACGGTCACATCCCCATCCCATATTTTATATATATACACACGCATATACACACAACCTCGTCCCTGAATTTCAAATCTCATAATCTTCTTCCTCTTCTTCTCCGACGATGGTTGCTCGAGTGACGGCCACGCGCCGCCTCCTACTCGTCATCTCCGCCGCGGTGCTCTTCCTCCACCTCCCCGACGGAATCTCCGCCGTCGGAGTAAACTACGGCACCCTCGGGAACCTCCCTTCGCCTGCCGACGTGGCGAATTTCATTCGGACCAGGACGACAATCGACAGCGTGAAGATCTTCGATGTGAACCCCGACATCCTCAGGGCCTTCGCTGGGAGCGGGATCTCCGTCGTCGTCACCGTCCCCAACGGCGAGATCCCGGCGCTGGTCAACACGAGGCAGGCTCGCCGGTGGGGGGCGGCGAACATCAAGCCGTTTCACCCTCAGACAAGGATCAAGTACATCTCTGTCGGGAACGAGATTTTGCTCACCGGAGACAGCAACATGATCTCCAACCTTGTTCCTGCCATGAATAGCCTCCACCGTGCTCTGATTCGCTCCGGCATCACTGATATTAAGGTCAGATTTCGGATCTTACATCTCTCCCTTGCTCTCTCTCTCTCTCTCTCTCCATGTCTCAAGATTTCTCTGGATTCTTCTTGTTCTTAATTTCAAATTTTTTGAAAATTGCTCATAAAAAGAAAATGTTTTTATTGGTGTGACTATTCCGCTTATTCCAAGGCAACAAATTTAACAAGAGATATGGATTTATTTAGAAAAAAAATAGAGCATTCGATTGTGATTGATGGTGTTGGTGGATGATAAATAGAGCTAATTTAGAAATGATTCAGGTCATGGTTTCGCATCTCATAAAATTGGATTTGATACATAATTTTTTTATTTTATTTTTTATTTTGAATGAACCGTTTGAAATTGGAGGAAGCAGATCGAATCTTTTCTTCGACCTTTGTTTGCTGTCTTTACGTTTTCCAATTGAAGAAAAAGCACGTCGATTTCTTTGCGTATCTCAATATTCAAAGCTAAGAACAACGTAATCAGCTCCCTTTATTTGATTCATTTTTATCTTTTCCTTGAGGTTATTAAAAATTCAAAAATAGTGCGCGACAGAGAATCCGAGTTAGAACACCCAATGAGAATCTTCCACGTGTTATAACTTAGTCAAAGGCTGTCTTAAGATTGTCTTTGTACTCGTGCTCCGTGTGCCTCGCATTTCAAAACAATGTCACAAACTTTAACCGTTACGAATATTACAAAAACTAACCAAACATTTCCAGCTAATAATAAGAAATACTCAAATAATAATAATAATGTAATTGTGTTATATGTATCAGGTTACGACGGCACATGCACTGAACATCATAGAATACGAGCTGAACGGTGCACCGAGCCGTGGCCGGTTCAGACCCATGTGGGATAAGACCGTGTTGGCTCCGGTCCTCGCCTTCCACCGCCGAACCAAGACTCCCTTCATGGTTAACCCTTACCCTTACTTTGGGTTCGACCCTAAAAACGTAAACTTCGCCATTTTCCGACGTCCCTACAAGGCCGTACGCGACTTGTTCACCGGCCACGTCTACACGAACATGTTTGATACCCTAATGGACTCTACTTACTCCGCCATGAAAGCCCTCGGGTACGGTGACGTGGACATCGTCATTGGAGAGACCGGTTGGCCCTCGGCCTGTGACGCTTGGTGGTGCACTCCCGAGAACGCCGCATGGTTCAACCTTAATGTGATTCGACGAGCACAGGGGCAGGGCACGCCTCTCATGCCGAAACGCAGGTATATAAACCCTAAGTATCTGCTGATATATATATGTCGTTATCTGATAAAAACTGATGGAGGGAATTAGATACGATAATTTCGTAAACATTTTACAGTTCTTGTTGTCTAGTGATTTAGTTCTTCATCTGGCAAAGAACATAGTTTCATACGGTAATTTTGATCCTATTGCATATGTGTGTGTGTATATATATATATGTATATATAAGGTTGGTAAATAAACCCTAGATGCCAACCAATGAATGTATCAGTAATGTCTTATTAACTAATCCAGTGGTTTAGTGGTTAGGGTTTCAAACCCTACGTTTGGGTATACGTTTTGCCAAAATATAAAAACCTCACGATATTTTGGATATGCAAACTCTTTCTCTGATCAAATCTCTTCTCTCCGTAACAGGTTCGAGACGTACATTTTCGCACTCTTCAACGAAGACGGTAAGCCCGGACCGACCGCCGAGCGCAACTGGGGGCTTTTCCGTCCAGATTTCTCGCCCGTCTACAACGTAGGGCTCCTCCGTAACGGGCAAGGCGGTGGAGTCGTCCCACCACCTTCCACCGGAGCCGGGAAATGGTGCGTGGCCAAGCCACAGGCCACGGACGCACAGCTCCAAGCGAACATCGACTGGGTCTGCAGCCAGGGCGGCGTGGACTGCAAACCCATCCAAGCCGGGGGCTCGTGCTTCAACCCGAGCAACAACAGGTCTCACGCTTCGTACGTGATGAACGCTTATTACCAGAGCCACGGCCGGACCGACGGCGCCTGCAACTTCGGCGGCACGGGCATGGTCACGGCCAACAACCCGACCAATGGGGCGTGTAAGTATTGAACTTTGGAAAGCGGCGAAACTCTTCCTAGCTCCCGAAGTGTTGTCGTTAACCGAGTCACATGGTCCGGAGAGGTCTTTCTTTGTCTGAATCTATATTTTTATATAAGATTTATTTGATTTGTTAGATGGAGGCTTGTTTGACACCGTGTGACTCGTTTCTACCATTATATATTAATCTGTGTTTTGGCCAGACATTATATATAGTTTAACCCATTTCTTCTTGTATGGTGTATTATTATTATTATTATTATTATTATTATGTTGAAACCGGAAATGGTCATCGGACATAAGATCATTTATTTTTAGGCCTCCCGTAAATTTGGGAGCCGACAAATAAATAATTTAAAGGTCCAAAACTAGAGACCGTGGTCCGCGAACTAACCCTTGCACCGGGCGAGATGGGTGGAGAGGAAGACTAAGGCCCAAGAGGCAAACCAATAAAATGGGCCAAAAAAGCCCACGCGATGAGACGTTATAAATATCACTCGAGACAAACTCAATAGCATGATTTTAGATTTTAATGGCAACGAGATTACAGCCACGTTTGAGATTCACCAAATTAGATTAAGCCAACGTCCATAGAAAAATAAATAAAATAAAAATAGTTAAGATAAATGTCTTTCAGTCCAAACATTAACATTTTTATTTGTTAGATTTGATAATTTTAAATTTTTTACCTTAAAAATTGATATTTTTTTTTAAATTTTGTCACATTATCAAAACACGCATTAGTGCTGCTCTGTTTTTAGATGGACAGATTGTAAACAAACATTATAATTAAAAGTTACATATAATTGATGATTACACAATTAACATTTTTTTTTAATTGCTTTCCGCAACGATAAAAGAATCGACATTTGTTATTCAAAAGCAGCAAAACCGCAAAAGAAGACAACTTAATTTACTTACATGTTGCGAAGTATATCCATTACGATTATATATATGAGACCAAAAACATAATGACTGCCGTTAACTGCCGTTAAATAGGTTTAACATATCCAACGGATAACGCAATGGACGGACGACCGTTGAAAAAAAATGCATTACATAATGCAATAAATAGAATCTAGTGGTGACACGTGGCAGGATTCGATTGGTTTGCATAAATCACGGGTGACCTCATCACACTTCACAAGAAAAGTTTGAAGAAAACAGAGCAAGAGGCCGGTGACTTTTGGATGGATTCACGGTCCAATGGTGCATTACATGTCTGCCCAAAAAAATCTTTTTTTCATTATTAATAAATATTTACATATACACTAAATAAAAGTTGTCCAAAACATATGGCATAGAGGAAAAATAGCTTACAAATGAAATAACATATCAAAGTAAAATTCCAAATAATGCTTTAGAATCTTTTATCTTATCGTATTACTATATTCGTCCTTCTGATGTTAAAATAACCAGAAAACTTAATTTTGATGTGTAATATAATATCTAACGATCAAATAAGATCAATAATTTATTATCTAAACAATAAAAAATATGAAAAATTTGATAAGCTAAAACGTTAATACACTATAGCTACTTGTAATATTTTGATTCCTAAGATTGTCGGGTTATAATAGCAGACAACTTCAAAACTACAACTGAATGATAAACCTTATATTGTGACATTAATAATAATAATAATAACATATTGTCGGTATTAATGAGCATCTGCATGCAATATTTAAAATTGAATTGGACCTATTAAATTATTTCAAACAGAAAGAAACTGCACGTGTTTTATGGACATCAAAATGGAGTCATTTTCAAATGAACCGTTGAAACATTTTCTTTTTGGCAAAATATACACATACATCTTCACCAAAAAATCCGGAAGAACATAGAGCCTGCATATGATCTTATTCACAACAACAGAACCAAACACCGAAAATATAAAATCAAACAAATAAAACGACCCACAAAAAAATCCCATAACAATTCATATATATATATATATATATGTTCTAAAAAAAGAATAATTATTTTCAAAAATAAAAAAAAAATGGAGAAAAGAAGGCGTATTATCATTATTATTACTAATTAGTGAGCCATAGCAACAGGATGAGGGGAAGAATTGTAATTGATGCATCTTTGGTGGGGCAAAGCCAACATAGCAGTGTGATCCAAGAAGTCCTTGAGAGCAACCACCGCCTGCAAAATTACCTTCAACTCCTCAGCCGCCGCGAAACCATTGTTTCCGGCGTTCCGTACGCCGTACACGTAGAACGTGACACACCCTTTTCGGAACTTGAACCTCGCCATCTCGCAACCCTTCAGCCCTCTTATCATCTTCTTGTTCACTTCGCCTAGAGGAATCTCCGGCGGCCAGATCGATTCCACCGCCGTTTTCATCGTCTCCGACTCGAACACGAACACGACGACCTTCGATTTCCGAGTTCCGAGACCGAGGGTTAACGTGTGCCACGCGTGGTGGGCCAGGATCGTGAAGTTTGTCGGGAGATACGCCGTCGCCGACAGAAACTCCGGCGAGATTTGAGGGTTCCTGGTTGTCGGAGGGAGGGAGAGGAGTTTAAGGAGCTCGAGCGGTCGAGCTCGTCGGATTGTGAAGGATTTGACGATGATCTGGCCGCCGAATTTAAGACCCTTTACGTCGGAGGATGGTTTGAAGGAGATGTCCGAAGTGGGTTTTGTCTGGTTTTGTTTCTGCTTCTTGTTCTTGGTCGTGCTCTTCTTCCCTCTCTCTTCCATGGAGGTTATGAATTCTTTTTTTCTTTTTTTTGTAATGTGTTAGTTTTTTTTTCCCCTTTCCCTCTCTCTGGTCAGAGGCTTCGGTTGTAGCTGTTGTGGTTGGCGCTGGTGGTGGGGGGTTTTGAGCTTTTTCCTCTTCCTCTATCTCTCACTATATATTTTTTTGTATAGACATTATAATTTATAAAATAAGACCAAATGCACATTATTCATGTCTCCGCATTTATGCCATCTTCTATAATTTTTTGTAACATACTATATGGATACCCTTTTTAGCATATAACATATTTATAAATATTGAGGTGATATATGAAAATGGCAACGATGACGATTCACCCAAATAAAAAAAACATAGAAAAACTAAACAAATGAAACTATATATGTATGTATATATGCTTAAAACGTATACGTATAGAATAAAAGAAACTACAAAACATCGTTTTCGGGGTTTTAAAATGGACCCAATTGATTTAATATCATTTGACGCCCCGCTTTGAAATCGGGTCTCATTTGGACCGAGTAATAATTTAATAATGCATTGGTGGGGGTACCTTCATAATCGAATATCATAGTGTAACGCGGTGAAAAGATTCACATGTAAGGGACCAAAATGTTTGATGAAATTATTAGCTTAGAGAGAATTCGTTAAACGTTGCGTAAGATTAAATATTTTTAAGTTGTAATGATTACGCTAATTAAATCCCAAAAGAAAAATGAAATATAAAGTTATAAAATGAGGACCTTAGATATGAAAAAGATGGTGGAGCTAATGATGATGGTACCACTGCTTTTTTTTTTCTTTCCCTCTTCATTATGTTGCAAGTGAAAGGCTCACATGAAAAAGCATGTTCTTGAATACTTTGAATGAAATGAATGCTCCACAATTCTACTTTTTCGAAGAAAAAAGCAATAAATTATTGTGCAATTTTTTTTTTAAAAAAATTATGTATATAAAATTTAATAAATTATATATGATGTTTAGCTGTCCCATAAAGCTTTGATGAACCATCCCTTGTCAAGGGACTTTTGATTTTGTTTTTCATTTTACGAATTGTACTAAAAAAAAATTCCAACTATAAAATTTTTTTTTACAAAATACATTTTTGAAATATTAAAAAAAATTAATCTTAGCTCTTTCTCATCCAAAGGAATTATAAACATACCAATGTCCATCTTTTACATTAATGAAAACAGCCTTGTTAACAAATTCCAAATGAACTTGGGATCAATACCTTGCTGTTGATGTTAATAAACAGTCTCTGTTATTAACAAAATCGGTTAATGTTAACTTTTTGCATGTTAATAAACTTCGATTATTTTAATTTTTAAAAATTTATAAACATACGGTTAACTAATTTTGTTCAAATTGGTTCAATTTTGATTATTTCGAGTTTTAAGAATTCATAACGAAACGATTATTTAATTTATTTCGGTTTAATCGGTTATTCAGTTCGATTTAGATAATAACCGAAATACCCTTATTCAATGCGATTCAGATTAATAATCGAAATAACCGATCCCACTATAGGCAACTCAATGGTTGTGCTCAAGAAGGATAATGGATAAAATCCATGGCAAGAATCAACTCAAAACCCCTCAATTCCGACAACTTTCTGCCCTAACACTTGCTTAGAGCATACAGAACGATATCGCATACGCTTAGGCAACATGTCTCTTCTCTTCCGCCCAAATAGAAGAAGCAAAGCAAATATTTAACCAAGTTGAGACAAACCCATCAAAATGTATCTATGGCAAACAAAGATCTCGCAAAAGACAGAACCCGACCAGAGCCTAGTAGAAGAAACCAAGCACTTTACCACCTACGTTTTTCCTCCTGGCCTCTTCGTGATCCATGATGCCTGCCGAGGTTGTCAACACAATGTATCCGAACTGCACATATCCAAATACATACTTATAGTTAGACGACGGTAGATTATTCAATAACACGGGACACGATCCGGGATAAGAGAACAGCTAATAGATCATCGGATTGGATCATCATATTCTAAAATGACGGTAATGACTGACCTTCCACTATGTAACATGAACCCGCAATTTAACAGAGAATAACCACATCGCAAAGACGAGAAGAACATCAAGGAAACATAAAGGTACAAAATTTCATTCACACCTGTCTTGATGGAAGCAATCTGGCAGTCCATCCTTCGATTTCTTTCACTCCTACATCGAAACGGGGGCTGATAACGCCGCATTTGTTAAGCCTTCCGTTCAATTCAACCACAATCTTCCCAGCTCTGTGGTCATCGACATATTCAAACTCTCCAATGTAACCTGCACAAGATACATGTTTTATAAAACAAAAAACACAAGGCATACTGCCATACTTAAAATCGCAATGCCATGCCAATCCTAAACTCGACACACATCAAACACATACCATGTTTCTGCATCACAATAAGGAACTTGATAATCACTTTGGAAGATGGCCTGATCATGACCTGACGCTTCCCTCGCTTCTCGGCGTTATACATGCTCTTAAGAGCATCATTCAGGACACTGATCCTCACCATTGTCTCCTCTTCACAATCCTGAACGAAATCCATAAACAAAAGTAGTTCATTCATCAATTTACGGCCACAAAGCAATTGAGGAAACGGGTAACATCAACAATCACAGCATACTGAAGGCAATGCGTTAAATTTCATTAAAACACGACTAATCAAGAACTTCAGTACTTCTGCATTCGTTTTGGAATCTTAAAGTACAAAGCTTGTTCGATCTCAAACAAGCAAAATTTCTCACCGGTATACAAAATCCAGAATAATTGAGACTTTTGGAAAATAAAAACGTCTGAAACGCAATACGTATAACTAATAAAGAATACAACTCAGCTACAGCAGCAAGAAATTCGAAACCCCAGGAATCCAAAATAAGAATCAAGCAGGAAATAGACGATGCATCCGCTTATTCCTACAAATAAGGTGAAATCTAACGAAAATTTCTTCGAGATCCCAAACGATAAAAGATATTCGATGTGAAATAAGAGAGCTATAGCTGAATTTCGATTGAAACTTACCTATTGGGCGCGAGAAAGAACGAGATTGGAAGCAGGGAGATCCCGGCAGATGCACAACCGGAGGTTCTAAAGCGAGATTAAAGAAATTAGGTTTCCAACGGAGCATGAAGGCATAAACCCTAGTTTTCAGTTTTCAGTTTTCCAGTCGAGTCATTTTTGGGCCATACTGACGTGGGCCTAATTCGGCCCATTAGCGTAAAGCCCTTGTTATTAGGCCGTACCGTAGGCAATGGGAAATTATAATTTATAAAATCTGGTTTAATAGATTAATTTGGTGTATTCAAAAAATGAAATCCATTCCATTCCACAAGAAAATTATTATATAACTGGAATTGTACCAAGGTTATTTTTATTTAAATTTTGTGATGTACTCCTAAAATTAAATTTTTTTATCATAACTTTTTGTAAGAATTTCATAGTATTGAAAAACAATATCATTGTATTCATGGATTTAATATTCTATTTTTTTTTCACGATCGACCTAAAAATAACCTATTTTTAATCCATAAATATATAATCTAGTAAAAGTTCTGAGTTCCATATATGCATCAAATACTAGAAATGGCTAAACCATCTATGTGATATTCTATTTTTTTTTAAATATAGATATTTTTTAGAAAAATAAAAAGTATGCTATAATTGTAATCGCTTTTATGAACACACGACTTTGTTTTAATGAAAAAGCGAAGTCAAAGTAAATATCGTTGATAGCGAAACTTAACAGTTTATTCGCTTACTAATTTTGGAGGTCTATAATATTATAATTCTCAATTTAATTCGCATATTAATTAAAACCCTGTAAACTTGGCCCGGCACAAAATATTACGTGTTTAATTAAACCATATAATAATAAAAAAAATGTATATGCAGTCTAAACAAAACCTACGGTGTTAATTAATGTGGGCTGGTCTACTGTATGATATATTTGGCGTTGGCTTTTTAATTATTTTTTTTGGTAAAATTGGCTTTTTTTTTAATTATTTAAATGACAGTATATATGAAACAATATATACATATATACATATCACGTTGATTTTATATATACAAACGCCCAATAATAATGGTAAACGCCCCTTCATAAATTGTTTCCTGCATCTAGTTGCATTATAAGGGAATAGATCAATTCATCGATTCTTAAATGAATCAATGAAATTAAATGAAAAAAAAAACAAACAAATGTAAAAAATTTCGGTTAATATATTTAGCATTAAAAATATGAAATTTTTGCTAGATGTATATGTTAGAGAATAAACAATAATATGAGATACACATACGTACCCGGTAAGATGATGACTTTGACCTGATCTGATAATCACGTATTCAACCTATCAAAACACGTATGAGACAGTACAGAACCGGATATAACTTTAAGGCGTGACGAACAATTTTTTAAAAGCGTTATTCCATCTTACCGGGTAAATGATATTAGAGGAATACACTTTTGAGATACAATGAAGCGACAATGATTTCGGTTTACCATTTCGATAATCATCAAACAGAAAATGTTGAAGAAAACAAAGAACCCTAGATATACTTTCAGAAAACTATATGCAAGATAACACTCAAAATCTCTCACAAAATCTCTTTGATCTAGTCACAAATCCGTGTTTTTGTGTTAGTGTTCGTGTTATATGGTTTCTGGTGTGTTTATAAACATCAAAACGTCGAAAAGACATGAAGACTCAGAAGTTTTCGTCGACTTGGTCATGACTTTTCGCTCAAACGGTCGCTCAGAAAAACGAGCTACCCACCCGTTTATTAGGATTACCGCCCGTTTATACAAGCTTTATCCCTAAGAAAAAACAGGCTGTCCGCCCACATTTTCGAGCTGTCCTCCCATTTTTTCTGAGATCACTTTTCATGTTCTAAACCAAACGTAACTTTTTTCGACGAATCATAACACTTTAAACCAATTCACGACACGTCTTTTACAAGCATTTCACTTCTCCACCATACTCTACACGTGTACATAAATTCTATGAGAGATTAAAACCAATCAACTGTTTACTCTAAAATACCAACAATCCTCCACCATTTAGAGTAAACAACAAATGATTAAAACAATCAAGTGTTTTTCAAACATTTTCCAATTTTGTGCATAAGTGGAAGTGTCGTAACGATTGAACTTCCACGTAGTGAAATATACTTCAATAGCTCGAATTCCATAGGTGTGGAAAACGATTGAACCGACGTAATTCTATTGAGCTACGAGTACATAACACATACAAAATCAATACAAGTTTTTGTTTACCTTGACACTTTTATATGGTCATGTGTCCATATCCCCTTCATGAATGCATAAATGCCAAACCTTAAATCATTTTCGAAGCGGTCAAACTTCGCATTCACATAGGTGGATCTTTTAAAAAATCATATCGTACAACTCGACACTTTTTCAAAAGATCTATTAAGGAAAAACCTCCAACCTCCTTTATGTTGCAATTCAAAGCACCAACCTTAGGATGATTTTTATTTGCGTGCTTTCAATCACAAGATAAAAGATTTAACTTTTTGAACTCAAGCTCTAACGTTGTATTAGATGTTGAGCAGAGATCCTTTTATTTGGAATAAAAAATAAGGTTTTATTTTCACCTCTAGACTATTTAGTACATCATAATATTGACATATTCCATCAACCTTTTCTTTTCCACAAAATAACCGACATACAAATATTTTTCCATGTAGCTATGATTTAACGGGGATATAGCAAGAATACCCTTAAAATACTATCTCTACTTCAATGCCTACCCTCCAAACCCTAGTTTTTTTTAAAAAACAATAATAGCAAAGAAAAGACACTCGTAACCATATTTTTTAATGGAAAGACCATAATAGCCATAATTTTTTTAAAAAAGCAAATGTATTAAAATTAAAAAAACGATTTTTCCATTCTCTCTCCTCCAAAATTAACTTTGTTTCTCCTCTGTTTTGCTTCATCTCTCTCCTCTGTTTTGCTCCCTCTCTCCTCCGTTTTGCTCATTCTCTCTTCTCTGATTTTCTTCGTTTCTCCTTCGATTTGCTTGCACTCTCTTCAGATTTGCTTTCTCTCCTCCAAGATTGTGTTTTCTCTTTCCTCTGATTTGTTTTCTCTCCTCTGTTTACTCTCTCTCATCTGTTTTGCTGTCTCCCCTCTGTTTTGCTCTCTCTCTCTCTTCTGTTTTGCTCTCTTTCTCTTCTACGTTATGCTCTCTCTTTCCTTCGATTTGCTTCATTTCTCCTCCGATTTGCTTATTCTCTCTTCGACATGCGAAACAACTTCAAAAATCATGAAAAATAGTGGGAATTAACATAGAATCGCGTTCTTTGTGACTTAAAAATCAAGTATGGTGTTCTTTGTGACCTGTGACCCATGTGACCTGTGACCCATGTGACTTGTGACCCACGTGGCCTGTGATCCATATGATCCGAGTCTAATGTGCATATCTTGTTGTGCAGGTTTTCCAAAGTTGCATAGTATATTGATAAAGTGCTACATGAGTGGTACAAGGATCACACCTTGGATGAAAGACAAGAAGGATCTATGGTTCGTTCTCAATGGTATGCCCGTGAGAAATTCGATCATTGAGCACACCTTTATATGTGAAAGACAAGAAGGATCGTGTTTCTTTGTTTATAAGGACGAAAAATATTATTTAACCCTTATATATATGAAATGAATATTTCTAAATGTATTAAATGGTTATTTCTGAATATAATAATTTTTCTCCAATTAATTTTATTTTTTTTGGAGAAAATATTTTATTCAATTAATTTTATTTATAATTTTGGATCATATGGGATACAATGTGAATTATTATTTTTTTTTTATTTTTCATGGAAATGAAAAAAATTATGTTTAAATTATTTTTATGTTTCGGCGAGAATCCGAAATTGGGAGTCAATTGACTGCGGGAAAGTGAAAAAAATTAGGTCTGACAAGTTATCCTCATGTTCTCCAGTTCTGTGATTTTTTTTATTGGTGGGTCTCGCATGTTTTCAAAAAACAACGTCGGGTCACATGGATCACATGGGTCACATGGGTCACAATGTTCGAATTTATCGAATTAGTGACTATGAATGGATATATAATGATTAATCTTTGATTTTGACATCAATAACAACTTTAAAATCATCGTTGTTTCAATTTTCAAATCCAAATCACTCATAGAAATGTACTTCCTAAGTGATACTAATGTTTTAAGAATACTTTAGAATAATTTGCACTAATGTTCAAACAACTCATAACTAAATTAACGAATTTAACTTGTAAACACCATATTGTCATTATAAAACTCCATATAAGCTATCTTGAAGCGTTAAAGCTGAGATTCAACCATGTTTTTTTAGTTTGATTGAGTCACGGGCCACATGGATCACATAGTGCAAAAATGTTTTCGGGTCACATGGATCACATGAGAGTCACATGGGTCACACAGTGCAAAACTATTTCTGTCTCTTCAAGATTTAAACATGGTACTAGTGCAAAGAAATCAGCCTTATTAAACATCGTGCTAATGCAAAGAGATCGTACTAATGGAAAATGTATTTCATACTTGATAGAAGTTATTTTACAAACATACTTGAGAACTAAATGAAATCATACAAACAAGTTATTTAACAAATAACAATAATTTTATTTGTCCTTCTTTGATCACTTTGTTCACAGTTTGTCTGAGTTGGGAAACCGGTTTTGTTTGGGTCTACCGGTTTTCTATTTATCTTCCACAATCAGAGGTAAAACCATGAGGTTTGCATCACGTGGATCGTCAATAAGATGCATTATATAAAAATACCCCCTTTTGCTATTTTGGTTTCAAAACATACCATTCTCCAACTGTGACTCTATGTCCCATGTAACCAGAAGTTTAATCTTGGTCACATTGGTCATAACGTTAAATTTATGGTGATTACATTTATTCATTATGTTCATACCTTGTATATCTTATTAATCATTTGATAAAAATATTATAAATTCAACATTATGACCAACGTGACCAAAATTAAATTTCTGGTCATATGAGTCACAGGATCACAGATTGAGAAGGGTATGCCTTGAAATCGAAATATAAAAAAGAGAGTATTTTTTATAATAGCCCGTATAAAGAACATAGGTTTGTGATCCGTATGACTCATACGACTCATTGTGATCCATGTGACTCATGCGACCGTGTGACCATGTGACCATACAGTCACATGGATCACATGGAAGAGAGAGAAAATTGGAGGAGAGAGAAAACAAATCTCAGAGGAGAGAGAATGGAATCTATAGGAGAGAGAAACAAAAGCTGCGTTTTGGGAAACTAAATGATTTTTTTAATTAATTAAAAAAGGATAAAATAAGTATTGTACATTTAGATATGTATATTTGAAGTAGTCAATTTTTTTTTTAGAGGAAGGTATCTTTTGAACTACAAGTAGCATTTTAAGGGTATTTCTGATAAACTCTCGATTTAACATGTATGTCTTTCCACCATCGTACAATATATATATATCATTTCCAAAGATCTTCTTTTCCGTGATTAACTTATAGTAACAAAAACTTTCTTTACTGAAAGTGTTCAACATTATAAGTTAGTCCAAACTATAATATATTCTCATTTTTCAAACCGAAAAATGTCTACCCAATCGTAATTGAAGAAAAATCTACCGTTGATTTTTTCAATCAACAAGACACAAGACAACATAAAGTTTTCTCTTTATGTCCAAAACACCATGTTCGATAGAAATTTTTTATATCTTCAACTTGAATCGTTGAAATCCGATATCCACCGATCATAAACTTGATCAGTTTTCTATCCATGAATTTAACCGAAACTTTGAGTACACTTTACACGTATTTCCGCTTCATTATCACCATGAAGTCATAGGTCCCAAATAACGCTTTTAGATTGTTAGAGATTAACAATAATATATGGAAAAACACAGACGTACCCGGTAAGATGACGATTTGACATGATCCAATAATCATGCCTTCAATCTATCAAAACACGTATAGTAGGGAACCGGATATGACTTCAAGGCGCGACGAACGCTTTCCTAAAAGCGTTATTCCATCCCTATCGGTAAATGAGATTACAGAAATACACTTTTGAGATACAATGAAGCGACAATGATTTCGCTTTATCCTTTCGATAATATCAAACAGAAATTGTTGAATAAAACAAACAACCCTGGATATAGTTTTCTGCATAAAACTATATGCAAGATAACACTCAAAATCTCTCACAAAATCTCTTTGAACTTGTCACAAATCCGTGTTTTTGTGTTATTGTTCGTGTTATATGGCCTCTAGTGTGTTTATAAACACCAAAACGTCGAAAAGACATGAAAACTCGGAAGTTTTCGCCGACCGGTCGCGACTTTTCGTTCAAACGGTCGCTCAGAAAAAATGAGCTACCCGCCCGTTTATTAGTGTTGCCGCCCGTTTATTCAAGTTTTATCCCTCAGAAAAAACAGGCTGTCCGTCCACATTTTCGAGCTGTCCTCTCATTTTTTCTGAGATCACTTTCATGTTCTAAACTGAACGTAACATTTTCCGACGAATCATAACACTTTAAACCAATTCACGATACGTCTTTTACAAATATTTCTCTCTTCCACCATATATACTCGTAATACACGTGCACATGAATTCTATAAGAGATATAAAACCAATCAACCGTTTACTCTAAAATACCAATATTATATATATAGGTAAAATATATTTTTTAAAATTTGTAAAATAAATTAAAAACTTGATCCAACCAGTTATAGTCGCAAAGCCACTAGATATCTATAAACTAAATCTCTAAACCTAGTGGCAACTAAAAGAGGGTGTACATATAAAATATGCCATTAAAAGTTGGTATTCCATGAATTTGCATGAATCCAGACGTACGCACAGATGTAGGGTACGTGGGCAATATACGCTAGCCCATATATATACATACATACATATATATATATATATATATATATATCGGCCTCTAAATGAAGAAAATTCTGAGACAATCGGCAACATTGATGTTATTAATAAAATTCACTAAATAAAGAAAATATCATTCTGCTGCATTTAATCGATATTCTCGTCCCTCTCCTCCCCCATCCAGCTGCTACAAGAGGAAGAACACAACGACCCAATTCAGCCCAAAGCTCATTCTTTTTTTTTTTTGGCGATTCTATCGTCAATAAATTGTTCTGCAAATTCCTTCCGAGGAAATGAATACCCATCTCGCTTCATCTATGACTAGACGGGAATACGGTAATAGATATGACTTTTTATTTTTTAATTTTGTTTTTGTTTATGTTTATGAATCTGAAAATTTTCAATTAGCCTAACACTGTCTATAAGTCATAATAATAATAAAAAAAAATAAAGCAAGTATCAAACAAGTTTTTTTTTTGTTTTTTTTTCTGTGGGCAAATATAGGGAGCGATGAACTCCAAATGCCGAGTTGGGACATGTCCATGCAAATGTACACCGATGGGTAAATCATAATATTTCCCCCTTCACCAAGAAATTTAAATATAAAAAATAGAAGAATTTGATTCATTGGTGATTTCTTTATTATGTTTTTTAAAAATTAAACTTCAAAGTAACTTACATCCTTTTTTTTTTCTCTCGTGTAGAAATTTATTGGCAAATGGGTCTTCCACGGATACGACGTTATTCAACAGTGACAACCAGCACCTCCATTACTCTTATTCCTTTTTCCAACCTCACACAGGTTTACATACACACATACTCTTATATATATATATATATATATATATATATATATTCATTCTGATTAATTCTCGGTGTTTAAAGGTTATGATGAGATGGGCAGCTCAAGTCACGATGGAATTCTCCGAGATTCAGCCTTGTCTAACCTCAAGTTATCAATCCCATATTTCAAATCGGTATGTAATTGCGTAATATATATATATATATATACACATGTGTGTGTGTGTCCAAATTTTACGACAAAAAATAAAAAATGATATATGTGGTTTATTGGTTGGTTAATGTATTATAACAAATACAAATTGTCGTAATTTGTTATCATTCGCTATTTTTTTCATAGGGATTTTTATATTAATAAGATGGAAATGGGGAGGAGAGTATTTCCAATATATGATATGTTCTTATGAACGCCGAAAGTTCCATCTTTTTTTTAGTATTAAGGAAAAAAAAGAATCACGTCTTTGAATTCACAAATACTAACATTTTTGTTCGTTAAAAAAAGGAATTTCCTTACCCAAAAAGAATTCATGACAACGATGCAATGCCATTGACGGAGACCAACGGCGTCAAAAAGACGAAAACTGATGTCACAAAACTTTTATCCAAGGTTAGTGTTGCCTTAGATTATCTTATATATATATATATATATATATATATTACAATATCTACATGTGATCGGTTATATAGATTTGGTTGAATTTGTTCTTCATTTTTTAATAAACAAAGTAGAGCAAATTTAATTTTGATATTTAGATAATACCTAAATTAAAAACACATATACATACACTTATTATTTTTATCAATTTGGGCGTGGTGCAGGTTTCTCCGACAAAGAAAAACAACAAGCTTAGCGAGAAGATCACGATTCTTCAGAAGTTAGTTTCTCCTTATGGCAAGGTCTGTTTAATTATTCGTACATTTCTTCCTTTTTCTTTCTACGTACGTTATATCTACATATCTACTTATAAACCGTATGTATGCGTGTATATATATATATATATATCTATATACACATGTATATATCGCCGTATTTCAATAATAGCTAAATTAACCAACATAGACACACACAGGCCTTAATGCCTTAATTACAGAATATGGATGCGCATTCATATATATGGTATCATTCATTTCATATTATGAAATATTTCCTTAAATTGACCTGTAAATGTGTATGTCTCTCTATATGTTATGGAGCAGGCTGATATAGCTTCTGTTCTCGAAGACACTTCTCTCTATATCAAGTTGCTTCAACAGCAAATCCAGGTAAAGTTTATAGTTCTCTGTCTAATCGAAAATCAAAATCTGGATATATATATATATATATATATATAACGAAACTGTAAACTTTTTTCTCGATTGTTTTGTTGTTGGAATGTGGTGGGGTATAGGATCTGTTTCATATATTCGTAAGCTCATATGACGCTGCAACTACTACTAATTCGCAGGTAAGGACTCAAACAAATTTGCTAGAATACGTTATACTTTGAAATCTAAGTCAGCCGACCGATGTTAAGAATTTATTTTTTTAAAAATTTGTTCGGATAACTTATTTAAAATTCTATCTTTATATATGTAACAAAATAATATCTATTCGATCAAAGGTGTTGGGCTTAATTGTCTTGTCGTCATTCTCAGGGGACATCAGAGGAAGAACAAAACTTGAGGAGCAAAGGGCTCTGTCTGGTTCCAATGTCTTTCTCTCGTAAACTTTCCAAGACGTCGTGATAATAATACTCATGCAGATGCCTACATCCTCAATTTACAAAATTACCATTAAGAATTTTAGAAATTTAAATGGAACGTATTTACGCTTTGATCACACTTGCGTATATATATATATATATATATATATATATATATATATATATATGATATTGGATAATTTCCCGATAGATTTATATATATGTCGCAACGCAACTAAATATTAGCGTTGGGCTTTGGAAGCTCCAAGCCCACAAACTCCATCATCTGAGCCCAAAGGACCAATAGGAGTAAACCCGATCTGTCCCGAGTAATAATCCCAACCGTCCTCTCCCTAAATTATAAAAAAATATATCTAGAAATTTATTCAGGTTCATGATGATTCTCGCGTCTAGTACGCCAATAAACGATTATTTGGTTAATAGTTGAATTTCTAAAATCAAAATAACTGAACCGAACCCGACCTACCCAAAGGCCAAAACTCAGTTTATAATTTCGTGGAGCAAAACTGAAAGATTGGATTCTCGTTCAGTATTTGGTCCGTCGGTTAATGATCTCCGAAATTTTAGATATCCGACGAATTGAACTAGGCAGCGTTTACCGAGGAGCGAAATAAGGGTTTATGCCGCAGCTGGTGAAAGACGTTTCGGTGAAGAAAACGTGATCGGAGAGTAAACCTCGCCGTAAAACAGCAGACGATCAGACAAGATTTGATTCTGAGAAATGTAACAAAAAAGATACACCATTTTCTTTGAATGCTATGCTTTCGGGGAGCACCAAAAATCAATCTACTAGCTTCATGCCTTTTCCTCTGGCTTTTTCCTCGACCTCTTCTGTGTTCCCTATGCTTTTGGACAGACGACGGTAACATTTCCACAGCTCGACAGAGAATGGATATACCGACAGACCTCTCGTCAGGAAGTTCTCGGCTCTGGTCTTGAAACCCGTGATTCCGCTCAATATCTCCCCAGCCTCCACCCACATGTGCTCCGGAGGTATGGGGACAGCTCCAGATATTGTACTTACCAAGTTCAAACCTGCCCAGAAGTGGATACCTGCAGGATAAATGTCCGAAGAATCGTTCCTCTCGTTTCTTAACACCTTACATACGGACAATGCCAACGGGTAGTTCGATGGAACTAACTCTAAGACGGCTTCCACGAAATCCACCAGGTCCTTATGCTTGCTCGGCTTCCGGGGTAAGAGAGACGGGCCATACCACGCTTCAAGAACCACATTTACCACAACAAATTCGGATGAGGCAGGGGTCAGAAGGTTACTTACTAGCTTCCTGACTCTTGGTTTCTCCGCTCCAATGATGAATTTCCACGATAATGGCTCCTTTGCAGGAAACAAACTACTTGCTTGATTCGTGTAGTATTTCAATAATCTCAACTGTAGGCTAATAGGAAAACCACCTGTTGCCCGTATCTCGTTGATTAGCTGAATCGAAGCATGTTCTCTCAGGCAGTGCACAAAATGCTCAGGTGTTGTGGCCTCAAGTGCTTCATCGATGGCCAAGCAAGACTCAACGTGGTTATTCTGCAATTGATTATGAAGAGAGAGATTCAAATATCCAAACACCACGTCAAGCCGCTCATCTGCTGCATTTGTATCTGACAAAGCGGAATTTAGTAGACTATTCAGACCAACATCTTCAACAGCCACCGTTTGGTTTCTACGAGATGATACTTCCCATACTGAGGTGTACCAACGGGCCATGAGTTCTCTTGCAAATTCACGTCTTCCTCCCCGTAAAGCATATTCAGCATACTGATTCCAGATATATTGTGTGCCAGATCCTTCTCCGGGAGGGTTCTTTATAAGTTCCTCAAACCCAGAAAAAAACATATCCTCTGAATCGCTCGGGTGCATCCTAGCTGCAAACAATTTGAGCTCCAAGCAAGCTGGGAAGAGTTCAGTGTACCTTTTCAAAAGGTCCCTACACTTTTCCAACTCATGAATTGCCATCATAAAGAGGCTGTGGTTCAGAGCGAACAGATGGGCTGATCGCTCTTCGATTCCATCTTCAAATGGGCCACTACGGGTACAAAGTTCTACAGATTGCAGTCCTTTCTCAAAGAAACGGAGAGCCATCAGCTTCTGATCACCTACCAAATCAACAGAGGGCCACTCTACTGAAAGCAGTTCCTTCTCTGTTTCAAGACCTCGGACGATAGAATCAGGCAGCTTCCTGTAAATGACTAAGTACACACAACAAACCCAGAACACACATTTGTCAGAAAATGTTAAGCATGTGAGAATACCAGACAGCATCAAAAATTGAGGGTGATCAGAAACCGCCACTGGATCAAGAAGCCTGCTGAAACTCTGGATTGCCTCTGTAACATTCCCAGAGACACACAAGAGGTTGATCATCTGCAAGAAAGTATCTAATATGCAAGCACTGGCATATTTCCTATCGATATCAGACGCAGATGCATGACCGCAAAGGGCCGAGAGGGCATTATCATATGCAATTAATTGATCATTAAGTTGTCTCCGACTGTTGATGTACATAAGCCAAAGTGCATATGATCGCCTATTGTGTTTGACCTGAAGAGGCGAAAAGTTATCCATAAACTACGAAGCAACACCGTTGTGCAAAAAAAAAACAATTATTCCATAGGGA